TTTTCCAAAAACGAACTAAACGATCTTGTTCGCGATTTAAATTTGCCAAAGACTCTGCCGAACTTCTTGCATCTCGTTTAAAGGACAAGAACATGCTAAATGGTAAAGTTAAGGTAAGTTTCTTCCGTACCAGGCACCAGGAATTTTAAGATATTTTGCTCAAGAAAAGAATTAGTCTATCGCAATGACATAGTAGAGCTACTGAAACATCTCGGCGTACCTGAATACAAATCAGAGGACTGGCGACTTTTATCGACAGCAGCAAAGGTCCTTGAAATGTGTGTTGTTACACAATGGAAATCAATTTGCATCTGTGCAAATTGATTTCCATTGTATAACTATTCAAGACATATATATATATATATATAAAATGAACTAAAATAAAATGGACAATTTTTGCTGTCGCTACTGGAGTTTCACGCCGTAGGGCGATCTTCAGGCAACTGACAGATTATATATTATTTGCTGACTATATACATCGACTAAAAGGTGTTAAGTTACATGACGGCATGCACTAAACATATCGGAACGTTTATTTAAAATGTTCTTTTTACGTCCTTTCAGGATAAGTAGCCTTTCTTCAAGGCAAAGACTGCAGGTTCTTTGGTTTTTGTTCGGAGGTCGAAGTTGTTTGATGAAGTCCCGTTTAATGTTGTAGTTACGTTTGTTTTCTTTCAGTGTCCACGTGTATTTAGAAAGTTCTGTCTCGTTCCGGTATTTAATGTTCGTAATTGATTTAATGTGGTTTCGATATCGTGTCTTAAAAGCGCATGCAGTAACACCTATGTAAGTTTTTGTTGCGCTGTTGTCAGTCGTTGTCACGTCGGCTTTGTAAATCACGTTGGGTTTCAGGCAATTGCCATTTGTCGGGCATAGATGTTTCTGTCTGCAGTTACATTTCTTTGGTGGGTTGTTCTTGTTCTGGGTTGTGTCTGTTAAGTCTTTTAAAATAGTCTTGTTGTGTCTGGTTATGAAAGTTTTCATGTTTTCGCCGCAGCTGTAGCTTACGCGTATTGTGTGTCGGTTGAATATCTTGGAGAGTATAGTATTTGGTGGGAAATGTTTGTCGATAAGTTGTAGGAAGTCATAGGCGATGTGTGTTTTTACGTTTTTGCTGTATGGTGGGTTAAACCAAGTGACGTTACGTTTTCTGTTTTACGTGGTGTTTACATTGATGTTTGATGGATTAAAGGTGAGTTGGGTGGTGAAGTTGCTTTGTTTAAGAGCTTGGTTGTAAATTGGTGCGGCATTTTCGAAGGTGTCTTTGCCAGATGAGAGTGTGTTAATTCGGTTGTTGATGGATGTGGGTAGTTGGCGTAATACTGATGGTGGGTGGTTGGACGATCTGTGAATGTAGAGGGGCTCGTCGTTGGGTTTTCTATATGGTTTGTAGGTGTCGTTGCTAAGGTCAAATGTTACGTCAAGGAAGTTTGTGCGTTCATGGTTTGTCATCGCTGTGATTTTTAGTCCAAGCTCGTCAAATAGGTGTGAGAGGGTTTTTCTTTCTTTGTCGCAGAGTCTTCCCGATTTCGTATTTATGACTGCAAGGCCATCGTCACGGTATAAGCCGACGTTGTTTCCGTACCGTTGCTGTAGTTGGTCAAGTAAGAATAGCCCTACAAGCTCGCAAACTTCCGCTCCATTATAGCTGCCCATGTTTACATCATACGTGTTGGTAGCGTTGCGTTTGGACCATGATTTGTTTTGGTGGAAAAGAAGTGATTTTCTTGCGTGTTTTATAATGGTGTGGTCTTTTTCTGTGATTGTTGTGTATTGTTTTGCCCACGCTAGGCATTTGTCCAGTAGGTGTTCGGTGATCGAAGGGTAAAAGTCAACTATGTCGAATGATATGAATGATTTTCTTTATTTTTCGGTGATGGATTTGAACCAAGTGATAGCATCTGTTGTGTTGCGCCATTGGTTTAGTTTTAGTTCGTTTCGTATTATGTTGTTGATGTTGTCTAGGATGTATTTGCTGACTTTTCCGAGGTGGCTTTTTGCGGGGTTGATGAGGCGGCATTTGGGGTTGTTTTCAAAGTCTGGTTTGTGGTCTTTAAAGATATGAATGCTGGAGTATGGTTCATGGTGTTTATTCGGTCGGCGATTTTTAGGTTGTCAGCGATTAGTTTTAGTTCGGAATTTATTTCTTCTACAGTGTCTTCTTGCGTGGGTTTGTATGTCTTTGTCACATTGTCTGTTAGTAGTTTATTGTAATTTGAGGCGTCCATTTCATAGATGTTTGTTGTTTTGTCGGCGAAGATGAAGACGTTGTTTGATGCGTTGATTTTGTTCATGTCTTTGTGTAATGATTTTAGAAAATCGTTGTGGATGTTGCGGAACTCGATGTTTTCGATTAACTGGAAAGGTCGTCTTCAAAAGGTTTTAAGGATGGAACTGGTGGTGGATTTCGTTTGTCTTTAAGCCATAAGTGTGCGGTCTTTGTGTGCGAATGGCGTCGTCAGTGTGGCGGAGAAAGAGTGGGCTTTCCATCTCATGCGTTGTACGAATTCGTGGGTTTTGGTGATGAGGTTTCTGAGATAACTGTCTTTAGCTGGTAGGCCAATGTTTTCAGCGAATAGTTAAAGTTAATCTGTTGCATAATTGTCCTCGAGTTTTCAGGTTTATAACAGCGCTCAACTTCAGAAGGAGCGAATATATTACAATATTCCTGGATAAAAGAGCTCTCAATATCTACATTAGAAAGCGTAAGATAAAACGAAGAAAAATAAAATGAACAATTAATCGCTGTCGCAACTAAAAATCGCCGACCGAATAAACACCATGAACCATACTCCAGCATTCATATCTTTAAAGACCACAAACCAGACTTTGAAAACAACCCCAAATGCCGCCTCATCAACCCCGCAAAACCACCTCGGAAAAGTCAGCAAATACATCCTAGACAACATCAACAACATAATACGAAACGAACTAAAACTAAACCAATGGCGCAACACAACAGATGCCATCACTTGGTTCAAATCCATCACCGAAAAACAAAGAAAATCATTCACATCATTCGACATAGTTGACTTTACCCTTCGATCACCGAACACCTACTGACAAAATGGCTACAATCACAAAAGACCACACCATTATAAAAAAGAAAATCATTATTTTCCACCAAAACTCATCCAAACGCAACGCTACCAACACGTTTGATGTAACATGGGCGCTACGGAACGTTTGCTTGTAGGGCTATTTTACTTTTACAGCAACGGTACGGAAACAACGCGGCTTAATGACGATGGACAATCATAAATACGAAATCGGGAAGACTCTGCGACAAAGAAAGAAAACCCTCTCACACCTATTTGACGAGCTTGGACTAAAAATCACAGCGATGACAAACCATGAACGCACAAACTTCCTTGACGTAACATTTGACCTTAGCAACGACACCTACAAACCATATAGAAAACCCAACGACGAGCCCTCTACATTCACAGATCGTCCAACCACCCACCATCAGTATTACGCCAACTACCCACATCCATCAACAACCGAATTATCATCTGGAAAACACCTTCGAAAATGCCGCACCAATTTACAACCAAGCTCTTAAACAAAGCAACTTCACCACCCAACTCACCTTTAATCCATCAAACATCAATGTAAAACACGTACAACAGAAAACGTAACGTCACTTGGTTTAACCCACCATACAGCAAAACGTAAAACACACATCGCCTATGACTTCCTACAACTTATCGACAAACATTTCCCACCAAATACTATACTCTCCAAGATCAATTACACACACAATACGCTACAGCTGCGGCGAAAACATGAAAACTTTCATAACCAGACACAACAAGACTATTTTAAAAAGACTTAACCCAGACACAACCCAGAACAAGAACAACCCACCAAAGAAATGTAACTGCAGACAGAAACATCTATGCCCGACAAATGGCAATTGCCTGAAACCCAACGTGATATTACAAAGCCGACGTGACAACGACTGACAACAGCGCAACAAAAACTTACATAGGTGTTACTGCATGCGCTTTTAAGACACGATATCGAAACCGCATTAAATCAATTACGAACATTAAATACCGGAACGAGACAGAACTTTCTAAATACACGTGGACACTGAAAGAAAACAAACGTAACTACAACATTAAATGGGACTTCATCAAACAACTTCGACCTCCGAACAAAAACCAAAGAACTTGCCGTCTTTGCCATGAAGAAAGGCTACTTATCCTGAAAGGACGTAAAAAGAACATTTTAAATAAACGTTCCGATATGTTTAGTGCATGCCGTCATGTAACTTAACACCTTTTAGTCGATGTATATAGTCAGCAAATAATATATAATCTGTCAGTTGCCTGAAGATCGCCCTACGGCGTGAAACTCCGAGTAGCGACAGCAAACAAATGTCCATTTTAATTTAGTTCATTTTATATATATATACATATATATATAGGAAGTTTATAATTTATGATTTTCCGTATAAAACAGTGCTCGATGCCCGAGAGCAGAGCAGGGGATTTACAAAGCCCCTGAAGAGTGAGCAATCACGAAACAGGCTTGTCGGGATGAAATTGTAGTTTTTGTGTATTTTCTTCTCCTTACCAATATATATATATATATATATACAAAGTGTATATACAATGTGCCCTCCCGGATATCACCATATTAGAATGGTGACTCCTGCACTTGGGACACAGGACGTACGGTTACACATTGTATGGATTGTATTGTAGAGTCACCACAGTGCTCAAACCTATAAAGGTGAGCTTTGCATATCGCGAACACGGTGAACGTCTCCATATGAGACTCTCTACACAATCTGACAGTGCTCAAACTACGCACGCACAGTGAGCGTAATATACAAAGTGTATTACAATGTGCCCTCCCGGCTATCACCATAGTAAAATGGAGACTCCTGCACTTGGCACACAGGACGTACGGTTACACATTGTATGGATTGTATTGTAGAGTCACCATATATATATATATATATAACTGACTATATAATTGTCTTTTAGTCTATTCTTGAGCGTCTAAACGCAGGGATACTTTTAATTGGAGATGGTGGATACATAACCGAAATAGAGAGACGTGGTTATGTAAAAGCAGGGGCGTGGACTCCCGAAGTAACAGTGGAGCACCCAGAGACTGGTAACATTATCTTTTTACTGGTTCAAACCTAAACTTGAATTAACTTTTTACTGGTTCAAACCTAAACTACCTTTACAATAAAATACCCAATGATACCTTCACCCTTTCAACATATGTACATTAACGTTATTGTAATCTTAGGTGCCTTGAACGCTTTAAGAATATCGTGCACCACCAGCAAATGTTCTTTTCTTATTTCAGTTGAGTGTTTGCATAAAGAATTTGCTTGTGCAGGATCTGATGTTCTTCAGGCGCTCACTTTTTATGGTAACGATAATCTGGACAAGGTATTCTCAGCAATAGCAAAATTTGCAGTTTTGAATGACATTCTGCTCTCACTTATCAATGTTATATAATTTTACATAGACTACAACAGAACTAAATGAAGTGAATGAGTCTGCCTGCAAGATCGTGCAAAAAGTGGCCGAGGAGTACAACTGTTTTTGGGCTGGTGGTCTTTCTCCAACAAATCTTTATGCTAATGGTGGTCTAAAGGAAAAAGTCCAGCAATATTTCAGAGCTCAGGCTGAAATCTTTGTGCGATACGATGCCGATTTCCTTATTGTTGAAGTAATTACGTTGTTTTGCTAGAAAGCTTCAGTATAAACGAAGCTTGTTCTCACGCTATTATCTTATTTCTAAACTTTAAGTACTTTCACTTTTGTGAAGAAGCAGAATGGGCTGTGGAAACTTTAAAGAAAACAGGCAAACCTATTATTTTTTTTTATGTGTAGGACCAGATGGTGATCATCGTGGTATATCTACAGAGGAGTGCGCTGTTCGCTTAATCGAAGCAGGTACATATTATGAGAAAAGATTACTGCATATAGTAAAGGATGAGAGAATTAAATCATATAAGTAAACTTGTTTTATTCAGGTGCTGATGTTATTGGCGTAAATTGCAAGTTTGATCCACATGAGTCGTTACAAGCACTTGCAAAAATGAAAGTTGGTGTAGAAAAAGCTGGACTTAAAACTCATTTCATTTATCAACCTTTGGGATTTCATTGTCCTGATGCTCACAAAAGACATGGTTATCTTGCTTTGCCTGAATTTCCTTTTGGTAAATGGAAAACACATTATAACAAAATCTATTTTTAAATATTATAAGCGTAAAGTTGAATGTGAGCATGTTTTAAACCAATTATATTAACGATGCGTTTTAATTAAGCTTTAGAACCTCGACTGCTGACCAGATGGGATGTTCACAAACTGGCTTGAAGTGCTTACAATATGGGAGTAAGATTTATTGGGGGATGCTGTGGATTCAAAGCTTATCATATTCGTGCAATCTCGGAAGAGGTAGGACGTTTAACTAAGTTAACATACTTATTAGTGCACAAATTATAGATGGTATGGCTCTGCTGCAGTCAAAAACCTACCAGCTACATTAGAGTAGCTTGCGAAGAAGATTTTAGATCAAATTATCTCCAATGCGATGTCACAAAAGCGCACGCCAGTTGATTTTACGTACAACAAGAGCTGGAAAAGGGACTGAAGTTATGAAGACTTATGTAAAGACCAAAAAGATACCAAGGCAGTTTCAAAAGTTTTTGGCTAATGGATGAAACAAAGAAAAATTGTTTAATTCCTTTTTAAAATCTGGCAAGATTTTTCTTACCAAAGCAGTTATCAAATTGATAATTTCACACGGTATTGATTGTCATCAACTCACGTGGGATGCCCATGGAAAATGCCACGTTGAAGATGTGGAGGAACTGATTTCTGAAAACCAGGAAGCAGACACACGTCTTTTGCTGCATGCCAAGCATGCAAGTGAAAAAGGAAATCATTCTTAGAGAAGTCCAGACACTGATGTTTGCATCATTTGTTTGACGTTTTCTGAAATAATACCAAATCTGTTTTTCCGAACTTGAAATTGAGACTTACAGCGCATCATTTAAATTAATACAATGGTCCACATACTGGGAACAGATGTCTGTAAAGGTTATATTGTCTCCATATTTATATAGGTTGCGACTCGACAAGTGCTTATCAAGGTAAAGGCAAGAAGAAAGCATTGGACGTATTGAAATCAAAATCAAAATTTATTCAATGCTTTGCTTATCTTGGCGAATCTTTCTCAGCAACCCCTAACCTCGTAGAAGTTTTGTAGGAATTTACTTGTTTATTGTATGGCCATACGTAAAAGGACATCAATTGCAATACGGTACAAGTTGTTTTGTGCAGCAACATGAGAAAAAGCTTGCCACCATGTAAAAAGCTCTGTTACAACATTTAAAAAGGTGTTCTTATCAAGCTGCCATACACCACAGGTCACTTTAACAAACCATAGCTGCTCCATCTTCTGACGGATATGGCTGGTCTGTCAAACATGATGTGATTAATGTTGTTTGGAAGACCAGAGCTGCAGCTCCATAAAACCTACTTGAACTCGTTAAATGTGCTTGTAAAACTACCAAGTGCATGAAAGGTAGCTGTTCTTGTTTGACCAATAAACTGCCGTGCACAGACATGTGCAAGTGCAAAGATTGCATGAATGAGAAGGATGATAATAACGAACCCAAAAGTAATTCATGTCAAATTGTCACCTTTGAAGATGACTTGGAGTTAGAATTTCCATGCTTTTCATTGTGATATTGTTTTTTAAAATTTATATTTATTTGTACAACGCTCGACTTTAAAGGTTTGAGCCCTCCGGTGCAATGTGCAACCGTAAATCCTGTGTTCCAGGTGAAAAAGTGACTATTGCACTGTGGTGATAAAGAAGGAACGGCACATATATATAAAGGTTTTATATTGATGAGAAGAAGAAAATATACAAAAACTACAATTTCATCCCGACGAGCCTGTTTCGTGATTTCTCACTCTTCAGGGGATAATATTAAATGAATACAAGAGCATGTGCTAGATTATATATACAAGAGGGAATTAGGGTTAAAAATTAAGATAGAATTACATAATATATTGAGTGTACGATTACAAATTGGATAAAAGTGCCTTGTGTCTATGGCGACAAGAGGAGATAAGTTCGTTACGTTTGTTGAGTGATGATAGTTGTGGTTGGTAGGTGATGAAGAATTTTTCTTTCAGGCATAGGTTGCATCTTTTGAGATTGATAGGTTGCTTTTGAGATGCAACCTATGCCTGAAAGAAAAATTCTTCATCACCTACCAACCGCAACTATCATCACTCAACAAACGTAACGAGCTTATCTCCTCTTGTCGCCATAGACACAAGGCTCTTTTATCCAATTTGTAATCGTACACTCAATATATTATGTAATTCTATCTCAATTTTTAACCCTAACTTCCTCTTGTATATATAATCTAGCACATGCTTTTGTATTCATTTAATATTATCCCCTGAAGAGTGAGAAATCACGAAACAGGCTTGTCGGGATGAAATTGTAGTTTTTGTATATTTTCTTGTTCTCATCAATATTTTCGCTTTGCTCTTCAGCATCGAGCACTGTACTTACGGAAATTCAAATAAACAAAACTTCCTAAAGTTTTTTTATATCGATGCAGTTTTTTGGGTAGTTTTCAAAGTCCATTACAGAGGTATAACATGAAGTAGCGCCATCTTGTGATATAAGAAATACTGTCTGAATTTAAGTGTTTTGCAAAAGAAATCTTGGAACAACTTTTCGTGTTCATATTACAACATATTTTTGTACTTTTGACTGAATTGTATTTAGTTTCATGATTTAGGAACGGAATTATATTTCTAAGCTATTAACGAATTTCGCCCAATGGTCCATTATATGGAGCTACAAGAGCCATTTTCAATTTCTTTAATTTTACTTTTCAAAATACAGTTTGAGGAAGAACGAGGAAGTAAAGCTAGAAATAGTGAAAAACACGACCCTTTTGCACAATTTATGTTTTTGACGGATGCTGGAAGGTAAGAAATCGTAATTCCATTGTTATCATCTAAAGTTACACTTTTAAAAAATACTAGTAATGTAGTAAATGTTTTAACAAAAGCTCTAACACTAAAAAAGCAAAATCAGTTTTAAATTTTTTTTAACTTTTCCTTTGCAAAGTATTTATAAAAATTATACATTGACGATCTTTCAGAAAACGCACACATTTCTTGGTTAGCATGCCTTTTTTGCCAACTTTCAGAGTTCGAGATAAAGAATATTGGATGAAAATGAATCCGTCTTCAGGAAGACCTTATTGCTCATCATTCAGTTCACCATTTGAGGATAAAAAATTAAAGTGATCTGTTTATTTGGATTTATAAGACTGTGAAGAAAAGAATTCAGAAGAACTGTAAGACTGTGCAGAAAATGATGTCCGTCAAAACATTGAATATGTATACGAGCATAAGCAACGAATAAAATTTCAAGAAAGTTTTGATTTGTGAGGGCTTACAAACTCTCCTGAATTACCTGTGTTTGATTCATCCAAATGTTGAATATAAGCACAATAGTGCAATCAAGAGTAACCAGTAACATTTCAAAACTGACCAAAAACATTTTTTTATGTATATTGTCGATTTTAGGGGCTAATGACGTTACGTTGAACAAAAAGAAAGCAGGGACGTAATGAACGTTGCTCTGGTGTATTGAATTCAGGGAGTTATAAGCTTCACCAACATTATGATCCGTTTCAAGGAATTTTGATTAAACAAGGTCTCCTTATGTGATGCATAACTTCTTGCGGCGTTATGAATTATTCACTACTTCTTTCCTGAGACATAAGTAGGGATGAAGTGACGATTGGATGAAGCAAGATAATTCTGACAGCTTATTTTGATAATCTTTGGTTTTGGAAAGATCGAGACTCACCAGGATTGTGCACATAATTAATAAACCTAATTTCTTCTTTTGTTAACTTTTTTTGAGGAGAAGTATGCTCATTTGGGTCAATAATTTTAGAATTGCTGTTGTTGGAATTATTAGACTTAATTGCATTTTGGTCATTGTCGTATTTGTTCCTAAAGGACACTTTTCCTTCTGAGTCGGTCAGGCTCGATTTTAACGTGTTATTTTCTCTAGTTAATTGGCAATATATTTTGCTTGTTTTGGTGGATAATTTTAGTTTGTTCAGAAAGTTTTGTCATCAAAATTTTAAACTCTGATTCAATTATTTCATTTAGTGAGCAAACATGGTCTTCCACATTTTCTACGTCAAATGAACTATCTATAATTGGCGTAGAGGAAAGTATAAAATCATTGACAACTGAAATAGGGAAATCATCAGCCTTGTCTCTTTCAAATATATTTTGATATGAAGAATCTATAAAATTTTCAAGTTCTTCAACAGTGGAAGAATCTGATTTTGTACCTGGTACATCATCTTTAAGATTATCGCTTTTACTAGTGCCAGATGTTATAGTGGCTTGGTTCACATTAGTGTTACTTGAAACAACAAACTACATTCCACGACAATTTTTGCTACTCGAGACCGAAAAACTTCACCTGATATTTTAAGTGTTAAAATCCTTTAGGTACATACCCTGAATGCCTTGAAATGATAATGATCTGTTATTTCCGTCCCATGTAACAACAATTATGTCATTATGATAAGCTTTGGAAAAACCGCTGAGCGAAGTCCATTTGCCACCATCACCGAAGAAATCAGTGAGCAAAAGTTTTAAAATCTTTAAGTCTCTTAACCATTTTATTTTCATATTTGGTTGAACTTGGAAATGTTCTTTGCATTTTAGTAATTTATATAAAATCCTTAGAGATTGAGACTCATAATTGTAGTCCAAAGAGTTGAAATTATTCGAAGAAGATTTTACACATTGAACAGACAACACTTATAAAAGAAACACATATATAAAACACTGAAATGTGTGAAGAAATTGTTCTCATTTCTGAAACATCATCTGGTATCGGATTAACAAAGGCTGCATTGCTTGCAAAGAAAAAAGTACAAAAGTTAAAGTGCTCACATCATTGACATCAATTAGAAAGACGTACGAGCAAGAAGAATAAAAGATGCGTTGTTAGAGAAAGCTGCTGGAGTGCGGGTTGAAGCAATGTTGATGTAATCGAACTGGATGTTTGTTCAGAAGATTCTGCTGCAACGCGAATTTTAGAATAGGAGAGAAAAATGTTGTTATATGTAGGTAAGCAAATGTCCATGCAATAATACTGTTTTCAATAATTGTTCGCTTGCAGACTCAATAATACTGCGTTTCAAAAATGAATGGCTTGCATAAGATTCAATAATACTGCGTTAATTTTGCGTCGCTTTATCTTTTGTTGTTTTTAATTCTCGAAAATCGTGAACATAATTAAACAAAATTAGAATACAAAATTTATGATGTGACGTTTATTAATTATCAGTATTATTTAAATTTTGTTTGAAAGTTGGACGTAGTAATAATTAACATGTGGGTGTAGAGTGTTAGGGAAGAGATGCACACCTTTCTTATGACAAAAGAGAAATACCTCTTAGATGATTGAGCAAATTGAAAGTTATTTTTTAGTAAATGATAGAGTTTAGAAAATAATTTAATTGTTTAATTTTGTGATGCAAGAATATTCCGAATATCAATTTGAATATTTGTGAAAGAGTCTGTTCGTAGTTGGTTTTGTTAATCTTTTTGATGTACTTTCGAAGGATTTCTTGTGTAGTTTTAGATTTTCTAATTTGCCTTAAAATGGCATTTTGGACTTATTTCATAATTTTCCAGTCTCAATCCATTTGAATAATATTGTGTATGTTCAAACTACGTGTAAACTAATCTTATTTGGTCTACAACCCAAATAAGGTTACATAATACCTGCCATATGTGTGATGTATGGATATACTAGTGCTTGATAATTATGTTTTCCTAAGATATATTTGTTTCACTTATAATCCTATTCTACTGTAAATCTAAGTAATAACACCACATATTGAAAAACTATCAACTATTGACTTTATTGCCTACTGTAAGACATGAAATGTACATTTCAGTTCAGATTTGTGCATGTTTGATGAGGATGTTGTGTAGTTTGTATTTGCGCTGATTACTCATATTTACGCTTCGATAAAATAGCTTCAAGCAATTAGGAGCAATACAATAACCAGCCCTGTTTTGAGAGTTTATATATTTTCATTCAAGCTGTAAAAATGTGGTACATGATTTAAAGCACAATTTCACCTGCTTCTTAGTTCCTTGTACACAAACTATTGTAACTATAATTCTATATGAATGTTTTTTTTCAAAGACTTACTGCTACCAACAAACTTAGGGTATATATTAAAACATGACTAATCAAACCTAGGTAAAAAAAACTATATATACATAATATATGTCCAGAGAATATACTTTACACGAATTGCTTAAAGAACCAAGTAAGTTAATATCTATGACATAACCACCGAATATATTCCCAAATAAATCACAGTTCAATTGTTCAGAAAAATTAGATTTTTAAGACAGAAAAGTCAATTAACGAAGTACGCTTATATTATCTTTTTTTTAATATACTAATAAAATTGGCAAAAACAGTCCATTATACTCCATAAAAAAATTTTTTAACCTTGATATTCCAAATTTATCCATATAGTGTTATAGAACAATACTCTCATTTTACTACCTAACAGTATGGAGGAGCTCACTTCCAGCAATTGCTGGCGTGACAAAAAACTTCAAAGGAGTGACCTTCTGCTTGGTTGCATATTCTGTGCCAATGATTAATTAATGATTTAACAATAGGATCAGACTCTTTTCCTAAAGACTAAACGAAAAAGGCATTAGCAAAAATTTGTCAGTAGCACTGGCGTGATCTTTAAAAGCCCTTAATTTGTTGACGAATGCACTGAATATATTGTAAAAGCGATCACGGACGAAAATCCACAACCTTGTTATCTCACTTGGAAGAATTTTAAAGAAACTGTTTCAGCAAAGTAATTTTGTTGTGACCTTACTGGAAAAACCCTACGAAAATCTTCTAAAGTAATTCTTTCTTGATATTCTATTCAACAGTACTGCTCAGTACTGCCTTTACTCTAGGAAATTCCGCTTAATATAAAATTTGTGGGCCATTTGTTTCTAGCGAAATTAGGATAAATCCTACGTTTTTCTTTTTTTATTTAGGGGGGGGGTGTATTTGTATATTCTACAATGACTTGTTCATTTCTTTTCTAATATATGATCCATATGAATGTCACCCTCCCCCCTCGATTGACGTTGGATTGACGCTTATGTTTCAGCAGCTTAGCCTGCCCGTGCACACATTTTTTGTCCATTTATGTAAAATCTGCTGTTTCCTCTGTAAGAAATTGAGAAAAATTGGGAAAAATTGTATAGCGCAGAAAAAAATAAGCGGGCAGGCTACGCCACTGGTTGCTTCATTTTATGTTTTTTGCGATTAATAAACAAACATGTGTTGACCATGGAATTAAACATTGTGTGTTTGAAAGATAGCCTTGCATTGTGAGAGGTGTGATATTTTTTGTCCTTTTCGCAAAATTTTTGCCTTATTTTTGAATTACATCAAGCAATCAAAGGAATATTCTTTTTACATATATGAAAATCATAAAATACTATACTTGTTGACGGCCGGTTGTAGGATTCTGACCAGTAAACAATAATATCACATTAACAAAACGAGTAGATGAGGGAGAAAGAAATTAAAGCCAGAATTTAGCAACCACACAAGTTACTCCGGTTCTATATGAAATTGGCAAGTATTTAAAAAGCATACGTATTCTATTCTTTGCTCTTCTTTTAATCATATATTTCCCAAATTGAATGAAGGAACAGGATTTCGTTTGCAAATAAAATGTAGGAAGTAAATAATAGCCTCTCGAAAACACTTGCAAAAGGGTATTCTAAGGAAAACGTGCAACGCAGGTCTCCTCAAGCCTTCTAGTGCACACATCTAATCATAATTCAATTTTATGGACTTGATCTTATAATAGCATATTTTGTGAACAATTTTCCACATATTCTTCACAAATGATCGATTAAGAATTAACAAGATTTTAATACTTCGTGATCCTAATATATGACATAAGATAAATGTCCATTAACTTTCCATTGATGGTAATCATGTCATTATGCAAGCTCTAGATAAATCGGGATCCTATTTTTTTAATTATAAAAACGCCACAGTATTGTTCCTATGGCTGTTTACAACGCCAATTATGAATTTCTTGCTGTAGACATTGGAGAGGCAGGAAGAAATAGTGATGACGGTGTTCTTGCAAACAGCAATTTAGGAATAGCAATAGAGCAGGAACTGTTAAACCTACCTAAACCAAGAACGATTCCTGGTACTTCAATAACCCTTCTCCACGTGTTGTAGCTGATGAAGCATTTGTACTTAAATATTACATGTTGAATACATACCCTAAAGATCAGCTTGATTAGCAAAAACGAATCTGTAACTACAGACTTTCTCGAGCAAAAAGGGATTTTGAAAACTGTTTTGGGATTTGTGCATCAAGAATCAAGATATTTCGGAAACCAATTGTTCGTAAAGTAAATACAGTGATAGAAATAACCAAGGCACTAGTTGCACTCCTAAATTACCTAATGAAACATGAATGAAATTATTGCCCACCTGGTCATACCAATACCGAGATATTGATTGGCACCAGGTTTACTGATTGGAGACAAGAATGCCAGAACGAAACAGGTTTGCTCCTATTAGGCAGACAAGGCTCGAACAATTTTGCAAGATCAGCTTCATTTACAAGGGAAAAATTTTGCTCTTACTTTGATTGCAATGAAGGATCTGTGTGTTGGCAAAGGGAAATGGTTGACAGAACAGCAAATTCAAGTGAGAATGAAGATATATGATCATAACAATGCCAGCAAACTTTAAAACACTCAGTTTAAATTAACGGAATGCTATTGGTAATTTTGTTCAAAGATAGGTATTATTGTTTGTTGTTTTTTTGCATGAAACAAATTTTACACCTTTATTACAAAAAGTTCATTATCAAACAGAAAAATATTTTAAC